AAAAGTCGAATGTAGTCTGAAAGAAACACATTTCGTTTTTATGAACTCCAGGTTGCCGACTGCAGGTATTATTTTCGGCATTACTTTAATTTATATTTAAATTTGTATGATAGTAGTGAATTAATTGGAATCAAAATGATACGAGCTTAATGAGCAAGAAAAAAAGCATATTTTATCTGTCTATTTTGGGAGCAAAACTTAAAGGAAGAGTGTTGGCTCCCTGAGCCGCGCTAGGAAGTTTTTCTCCCCTGAGTCGATCCTTCAGATATACAAATCCACAATTCGCCCTTGCATGGAGTATTGCTGCCATATATGGTCTGGCGCCCCTTCTGTTTGCCTCGGGGTTCTTGATAGGCTCCAGAGGCGGATATGCAATATGGTTGGCCCTGCCCTGGCGTCTCGTCTACAGTCACTTTCTCACAGACGCGCCGTCGCCTCCCTCTGTCTGTTCTACAAATAGTTTCATTGAAATTGCTCCGAGGAGCTGCATTCGCTGGTTCCCAGACGTCATGAGTTCCAGCGCCCTACGAGGCTGGCATCCCGCTCTCACCCATTCACTGCCGAAACTCCTAAATGTAGCCGTCTCTTCTACTCTAATAGCTTCATGTCTCGCACCTCTCGCCTGTGGAACTCCCTTCCCTTCTCCTGTTTCCTTGTGAGCTATAATCTCCAGCTATTCAAATGTAATGTCAATCGACATCTCCAGTTGCCTTAATCTATCCACTACCCTCATCCTTTCTTCTATCACTCCTATCTGATCTTGCTATTTCCTGTAACCCCTTGCATCCTAGTAGCTTCCCGCCTTGCTTGGGGTGAAACGTTTAAAAAAAAAAAAAAGAAAAAATCTAATGTTTTTCTTTAAATCGAATGTTTTTTTTTCTTTTCTGCTTACACAGGGCTACACAATTCTTTTGAAATGGTGCCTGAAATGTTTTGGCGAATTTTGAACAATTTGGGGAAATAAAATTAGTCTTAAACCGAGTTAGGAAAGTTTTAGTTTTCCTGAACCAAAATACTATATCCGACTTTAAAAATATCATGGTCATGATTGCAAATGAAGCTTTGCAAAATTTTCCACATTTTATGTTATTCAACTAAATTTTGATATCGAAGAACACTAAGAAAGAAACACTTAAAACATCAAATAAAGTGACATCTTCAATTCAGAATGAAATTATGGCATTGACCATCTCAAGTTTCTATCATAAATGTTTGATACAGACAATGTATATAGAAGCACTTACTAATAAGCACATCCACAGATTCCCGATACCTAAGGTTTAAAATTAATTTTTAAATGAAAAATCTTCCTAATTTTTATTTTAGTTTTAATTTCAAGCTAATAGATTAAATTTAATATTTTCAATAAGCAAAAGATTTTGCTGTATTTCAAAACTAATTTAAATTGACTGGAAAAAGTTTTCGTTTTGACATTTTTAGCTTTCCGTCATCACAATGTAATTCTCTTTATTCAAAAATCCTTCAAAAATAAAATATACTTTTCTAAAACTTTATTTAATTAATATGAACTGAAAGTTTTATTAATCTGATTTGAAACAAATATTACTTACTTTAAGTTTAAAATATCGCAGAAATATATTTTTAACACGGCGGTAGTTTTTTTTTATCTAAGGTGTTGATAGCTTAACTTACAGACGGAAGTTTGTCTAATTTTTTCTATGGTGGATATATGTGTAAAATTTACTTGAAGAATATAACGTGAGCGCCTTTTTTTATATAATTTTTAACTATCCAGTATTCTTAAATATTTTGGAAAATCTTCTCCGTAATATAATGTTGAGTTTTAGGTATTTGGGCTTTAAATTTACTATACTTATTACTCTTATTTTCTGATAACGTCTTCTATGGACGCCCGTATTTACAAAAATCAGCACGTTTATACACACAAACTTTTTTTACAAAATTCTTTTTAAGATATTGGTGTTTGATAAATTGTACTAAGCTTTTCCAATTATGATTAGTAAATACAGTTTTTACTTAATAACAATATCACCTAACCGGCATAAAGTAATGCAGAAATGTTAAAAATTTTAAACTTTATAAATTATACTAATTAGATATTTAAAAATGGAAACAATTCTTGTAAAAATTCATTAGTCATCGATTTTTTCTTAAGACAATAGTGTACATAATATATCTTATTCATAAAATCAGTTAAAAGCTTTTTTAATTAAACAATGTCTTAGTTTTATTGTATTTTTTTATTTTACGAATCAGAGGAAATTTTTGGTAACTGGTGTTTCTGTTATACAAAAAAAATTGATGATTTAAATTCTCCAAGGAGTTCTGCTTTTAGCTAATATAAACATAAAGCTTTACAAAATATAATTCCTTGAAATTTCATAAAATTAAATAAGTGGAGGATAACAGATGTAAAAAAAAAAAATGTTTTTAGTAAAATTTTCTAAAAAAAGAACATTTTTAAAATAATTTTATTCATTTGTGAATAAGTCCTAAAAGTTTCATTAAAATTCAACAATTAATTAATTTTTACAAGAATTTTCAAACCAGTGTATTTTTCATTGAAAAAAGAAAAAAAAATTCCAATACTAATATTTAGCACCCACGCTGACGGAAAATAAATAAATAAACAAGATTTTAATAAAATTTCGAACGTTCTAAAAAGGATTTAAAAAATGGAAAATGATTTAATAAAAAAAAAAAAAAATGGTCTGGGTCTTTCGTCTTAGTAACATAAAGATTTTGATGATAAAAGTTTGTATGAATTTTGGGGTATTTTCTTCATCATGGTATGCTCATTTTTTAGCAAACCAATGGAGGTGCCTACTTTATAATGTTTCCATTCATAACTTTGAACAATACAATAACATTATTATAATCGTGCAAGGAGTTTATAATGCTTCCATTCATAACATTGAACAATACAGTTATATTGTCATTATAAACACGTATTATATCCAAAGAGTTTGTTCCCATTCATAATTTAGAACAAAACAATTACACTGTTACTATCATTATGTAAGGACTTTATAATGTTTCCATTCATGACTTAGAACAATACAATTACATTGTTATTATAACCATACTTTATCATAATATAAAAAAACAGGTGTTTGAACTGTCAGCTATTCAATAATTTTCATGTTTCTGGTTGAATTCAGTCATAATTAATTTGAAAATCATGGAAAATTTGACTATAAATACTGAAGTTCTGTATGACAAAAATATAGAGCTAACTAATAAAAATGGACTTGGTGTCCAAAAATTAGTTAAGAAAAAAATTTAAGTTAATGTGAACCGAAACATGTGTAGGACAGTGTTATTTTTTGGCGATTAATGTCTATTGGCCCGGACTTTTGATAGAATGTGTATTGCCTTGATAAACAAAGTAGCTGTAGCAGACCTTAATAAACATATTATCAGCAGCAACCCTGGGAAGTATAAAAACAAGCGAGCCCTTAAACAGCTCTCTGTGCCGGGTTTTCCTCTTTTTAGGTGACATAAACTTTCGACACTGAAGCTAAAAAGGGCTGTGAAGGCTTCACACTAAAACACACCTACATAGCAAGTCCCACTCAAATATATTCATTAACATTTCCTTGAATATGCAATTTACTCTTGACTTAAACCTTACTTTTGTTAATTTTATTTAATAAATGTTATCTTGCAAATCAATTTGTCTGTTATTTTGTACATGTACCCCTTTCACCACCATTAATTCATGTATTGTAAACTATTCACACAAGAAACTTTACACATTAATTATTGAAGTATCCAAGACACTAAAAAGGCCAGAATGTTTACCCAGTAACAGACAAAACCGTATTGTCAAGATTTGTGGAGGGCATTGCCTCTAGACTTGGGTCAAAGTGTTATCGCTACAATGGATCCGGTTTTAAATTTTCGTCCGTTTAAAGAAGGTTATCTTTTCTATTTAACTACTTTCAAGGGTGGTAGGAGGTGACACGATCAGTTTAACATCGGGTGCCCATACGTATCGAGATAAGCCAAAAACAAAGATTGGCTAAATCTTCTCGGCCACTGTCACGTTGGCGTTGATATGCACTGACCCCCTCTCTTTAGTGCAAGTTTCTTTTTCGGCCTGAATAATTATGGGTGCGGGGATTAACGTGTCTGTAATAATCGTACCCCCATCTTGTTAATTTAAAAATAAAAACGCCCCATATTGCTCCAATCTGCGACTTATAACGTTTTACATGTTTCGCACATGTCTTCAAACAATAAACTATCATTTTTTTTTATTGCCCGGTTCCACACCCACCACGCAGCTTATTAATTTTGTTTATTCCAATGTCTCCTTTTATTCAAGACCCGAAAGTACTGAGTTATTTGTTATTATTACTATTATCACTTGATACCCACTCCGATTCTTAGATGTTTCGGCCAGGTGGTGATAATCATATCTCAACTCCTCACTGAGTCTTAGAGACGCAACACTTTCCTCAGCACATGATTTGTTCCAGGCAGCACTGTCACCTGAGCGCACCCAATGGTAATGGTATAAAGAAATATTCGGTATTCATTGACCGAGCAGCCAGTATTGCTTTCGGTTGAAATTATAAAATCTTTCTCGTAAAATAAATTATTAGAAAAATAGGTTTCTCAAGTCCAGTAGCTGTTATTGTTCTTTCCAGTACTGATGGGAGTTTCCTTCCTAACTTTATATTTGAAGTAGTGGGGAACGTCATCATCTTGATTATGTTTCTGGAACTTATTTTAGTAGCCGCTTCTTTTGAAGGCGTCTGGGGATTTTTGAATGCCTCTTTGGGAGGCATTTCTTCTTTTCATGAAGCCTCTTTCGGAGCCACTGCTTGGTCCTTTTTGACTGACTTCTTGTCAGCCGTTATTTCGAGTAGCTGAAAATCTTCTCTGAAAATAATTCTTATTCTTTAGAGGAAAGGATGAGGAAAAGGATAGTAGATAGATCAATTTTATTCTTTCTTGCTATAAACTGCTTTACCATTTTCGTTTTTTCTTTAAAACAGTTTTTTCTTCAGTAAAACATTTTGCGTTTTTTCTTCAATAAAAATGAAGACAAAAGTACATCCCGAATGTGTCTTTTTCCTTTCTTTCTTTCTTTCTTTCTTTCTTTCTTTCTTTCTTTCTTTCTTTCTTTCTTTTTTCTTTCTTTCTTTCTTTCTTCTTTAATTTTCCTTCTTTTCTTTTTTGCTTCTTTTTCCTTTTTTTTTTTTTTTTTTTTTTTTGTCGTCGCCACAAAGAGTCTGTAAGCTGCCGAAGAGAAAAAATATACGTCCTACCCTAATTGCATGCTGGGATTCTTCTTAACGAATAAAAATGGACAATTCTCGGTCTCATTCCCCATATTTTATTCTTTCTTGTCTTTAAGTCAGAAGGCTATAACCGCTTTACCATTTTGCGTGTGAATACAATTCGATCTTTGTGAATATTTTGTCTAATTACTGTTGCATTTTGTTAACTCCGCCTGTTGAGAATGTTTTCAATTACTCTTACTTAACCATAGCCAGTTATCCCACAATAATAATAATAATAATAATAATAATTATTATTATTATTATTAAGAAGAAGAAGAAGAAGAAGAAGAAATGTAGGACCGGCTTAGATTCGGATATCACATATCCACATCTGTCTTCATAACTGTACGCGGAATAGAAAAAAAAATTAAAATATAGGTCTGCGAATTCAATAGAAGACTGTGCTATTTTCTGCCTGTATCATAGCACTGCTACACCTTGGTGAATGGAGGGGTGTTGATGCAGCAAATTTCTTTCAGAAAGACACAGTAACAAATACGTGCGTACAAGAAAAGAAGCAAACAGAATGGTGCTGGTGGATAGGGTTAAAACGTGTGGAATCTGATCACAGATAAGAACGAGTGACGAGTAAGTCAAAGACTGACGGAAGAAGGCTCATCTCAAATTGACTGACTTTTTATTCCCTACGGTAACACGCTAAAGAAAAAAAATGTCGCAATCCTTGATAACATTCAAATCAAATTAATAAAAATAAAGGATAAAATGAATTCAACATATTGTTACAAAGTTTCACTCATCAACTACATCGTTTCAACTTTCTCGTTTCTGTGAGAAAAAGAATCAGTCTGGTTTTTATCTTAGTCAAGATTAGTGGCGGATTGGGTCTAAAAATATTGGTTGCCAGCAGACAAATAGGGCCCACCCGCGACTACAATTTTATCATTTCATTTTCATTACGAATAAATAAAATTGTCAAAAAATAAAAAAAAAGGGTACAATGAAAAAAGGTACAATTAAAGTTTTTGTTGGAAAAACGAGTATTCTTAGTAATTACAGTGTACATATACTGTATATATTACCAGCACTAGTGGAACTTCTACATGGTATAATGGTTAGCAAGATTGTCTTGCTAGATCGCCTGTGGAACTCCCTTCCCTATTCCTGTTTTCCTGAGAGCTATAATCTCCAACTATTCAAATGTAATGTCAATCGACATCTCCAGTTGCCTTGATCTATCCACTATCCTTTTCTTCATCTTTTCCTCTATCACTCCTATCTGATCTTGCTCCAAGTCTTCTGTAACCCCTTGCGTCCTAGTGGCTTCACGCCCTGCTTGGAGTGAAACGCTTAAAAAAAAATCAATGATGACTGAATAGGGAATTCGACCATCACTGGGTGCCGCATACTTTAGGCCTTGTGCCACATCTAATCTACGTTTAGAAAATCACCGTATTACTAGCACTAGATATCAAATGTAAATACAGAAACTTATAATTGAATTATTTTAAGTGATTGGTTGATATTTTTAAATAGTTTACAACACAATTTACACATTAACAGATAGTTCAAAAACGCAACAGAGCATTGCATGCAGTCCATTATATTAAGAGCAAACGATTGTGTTCCCTAGGTGATTGTATGAGTCTGTCAATAACTGCTTCTGCATCCAATTCATCTAACAATTCCTTTCCAATGGATAGCAACATGTATGATTCCAAATTCTCCTCAGGTAGTGAATTTCTTAACCTTGTCTTTATGATCTTTAGCTTTGAAAATGTCCTCTTATATTGGACTTGAGTAACCGACAATGTGCAGATGACTTTATAAAGTTCTTATTCCATTTTTATTACTAAAACTGTTCTCTGATTTAATTTATTGCATTCATATTTGATATAGGGAGCACTCCATGAGGGACCAACTTGCCATCAGGCAACCTGACACTCTGGTCAGTCTGCCACTTGTCAAGATCTGGACGTTTTGAAATTCTCATGATACACCTCAAACTAATTATGACATAAAACAGAGTTACTGAGGGATTCAGAAAAAAAATGAAAACAATTCTATGATTATCTGCTACACATTGGGACTGTCTGAAGAAATTACTGTTTATACATAAAACTGCAGTTTAAATTAAATACGTTTTGAGATATTAGAACTGAAATTGAAAATGACTGAAACTCCAATGTGATTCTGTTGATTACCTTTGTGATCTAAAACAAAACGACCTTAGTATTCTAATCTAATCTATATAATAAATGTGTATGTCAGTGTGTCACACTTTTTCAACTTTACTCCTAGAGGCCATAGTCCAATATATCATACCATTTTGGAATCAGGCCGACTCTGTGAGCAAATTAACATCATTCCAAGTCGGATCCGGACCCGAAATCCTGACATTTTGAATTCCTAAGATTTCATTACGGCAATTGTTTTCGGAGATTTTTTACGTGATTTTTTGCCACGAATTTTTTTGTACGATAACAATTTTTATAACTTGGAATTAAATTTGAGAATTATCGAAATTCACTGCAAAATCCAGCGAAAGTCACTGATGAAATAAAAATAATTGTTTGTACGGAAAATAAGGACCTACGTACATCAAATTGTCTTTAAATTAAGTTGTGTCAGAAGAATTATCGTTGAACTTTTAAAAGTTAAGCATAAATATTGACGCAATACTTAAATGCAGCGATCAATTATGAGTTCTTCTGTAGTTTATTGTTGCCTATCGAATCAACACCTCTCTAAATATTGTGATGAAGGCCAAACCAATAGTCCTCCGCAGTAGCTAGCTTAAATGACGCCCGATAGGGCTGTTTTTAAGCGATTTTATAATATACAAGGGAGTGCTGAAAAGTTCTCAGCGAAACGAACGAACCCTTACAAAATCATAAAATCTGATACTTAGTAATTTGGTCAGATTATGAGAAGTAGTTATAACTGAGAATTTCTCAGTACCCCTCGTGTGCTCTCTCTCTCTCTCTCTCACACACACACACACATATATATATATATTTAAAACTGTTGTTCAGGCCAGATTATGCACTCTTTCCCCTCTCCCAGAAAATGTTACTAATGTCTGTTCAGTATAGTTGCAAAATAAACCACAAATGGGTTCTATGGATGTTGAACACCAACATATGTGCCTGAGCAAGCGTCTGCAACGGATAATGGCGTGCCGCCTTAGCAGATGTGTCTGCTCGGAAGTGATAGCTGGGCATTATATATATATATATATATATATATATATATATATATATATATATATATATATATAGCCAGGTACGACTGAGGAGACGCATCGTTATTTAGGAGTTGAAACACGACTGCAATTGTGTAGCGTAGCGATTCTTACATGTTTTTGTTGTAATATCCTAAAAATATATATATATATATATATATATATATATATATATATATATATATATATATTATAAATTAATTGATTTAAAATGTTTTTTTTTCGCTACACAGTTCCAACCATGTTTCAAAAATAGAAGCTAAAAACCCTGAATTCAATTTTGCAATTAAATTAAAAGCATTAGTTCCATTTCATCTTCAAGCGAATTTTGGAGTAACTTTTAAAATTACTGGTTTTTAAAACACAGCTAAAATCACGTTTCCATGGTTACAGAATATTCTACTTAAACTGAACAAGGGATGTCTAGATTTTCCTTATGTCAGTATCATTGTATCAGTTATTAGCTACAATTTGGTAAGGGGTAGGGATGTATTTTACAATGAAACCTGACACCATTTGAATGGATGTCATCTGGTTTAAAAAAAAAAAAAAAATTGTTAACGGTAAAAAAATTCCAACGTCATTTTTTTAAATTTAAAGATTTTTATTTTTTTTTTTTTTTTTTCCTAATACTTTTATTTAACTACGATTTGAAATATTCTCCTTTTTAATTTTTATTTTACTATATTCTTTTTAAGAACAGTTAAATGTATTAGAGTCCATTATATTATGTAGGATTATTTTAACATCAAGTTTGTATATGAGGTTACATTTTTTTTTTTTTTTTTTAAATTTATGACTATGACGGCAAAAATGGTTACTTAATTTCACTGATTTAGTAAACTTTTATTTTATATATAAACCTAGTAATATAATGTTTCTCATGTAAGTACTAAGGACATGGGTCATTCAAAAGCTTACATCTTATGGCATTTCATATTAATTTTATTTTACTATAGGTGTTTTTTTTTTGGATTCTTTTTAGTGCGTGTAGTATTATTTAAAAGAAATTTAGGTTAGAATTCATTCAATTTAACTACAATTTTAATTACAATTTCAAAATTACAACTTTAAAATTTTAAAATATTTTCATTGTTTGGTTTTAATAGACTATATTACTTTATAACAGAAGGAAAATTACTCATAGTAAGTAAAATTATTTTTCCATATCAAATTATATGTAAATTACAATTTTTTTTTTTTTTTTTTAAACTTTTAAATTTAAATATTATTTAAGTAATATTAATGGCACTTACTACAAAACTAGCTAAGTCATTTCTCAGATTTAGTAAACTTTATTTATTAATTAATTAATTTATTTATTTTAAATATATGTAACCTAAGTAATAAAGTTTCATATGTATGTACAAAGAACAGGTTAGAATTCATTTTATTTAACTACAATTTTAATTACAATTTTAAAATTACAACTTTAAAATTTTAAAATATTTTCATTGTTTAGTTTTAATAGACTATATTACTTTATAACAGAAGGATAATTACTCATAGTAAGTAAAATTATTTTTCCATATCAAAGTATATGTAAATTACAATTTTTTAAACTTTTATATTTAGATATTATTTAAGTAATATTAATGGCACAGACTACAAAACTATCTAAGTCATTTCTCAATATATATATATATATATATATATATATATATATATATATA